CCAATCTCTGCTTTAACCAAAAACCTAGTAGTGCAAGTGTTCAAAAATCGTATGGCGCTTAAGATCCACCACGATTTCAACTCATTTTGTCTCCTCGCACCCGTCATTCATGGAGATGGTATGCTTCGGTTACGACGACTTCTGCGAGTTCTACTTCTGGTTCCAAAAGACATGTTCAGCTACGCCTACAAGCGCAGTACATTGGAGCGAAATGCGCCCACCTCATCATGCGTGTGACCATGCTTGTTTGCCTCCCTCTTGTGGTCCATTCAACCATTCTTCCTGGCTAAATGCTGTCTCCTCTTATAATAGCTTAATTCATATCTCTTTGTTCTTTAATTATGTTTTTTCTACCAAATATTTTCCAGGGTTTAAATGCATCGATCTTGGAGATGCTGTGGAAAACGGTTATTTCCAACGGATATAAGCTAGTGGTAGTGAAATTTCGGCATAAACGGCTAACGCCGTAATGAAAAGATTATCACTCTAGTTGGTAAAGTCCTTTTCTTTGTGGTATGATTCCTTCTTGGAGGCTTGTAGCGCAGTAGTCGGAGGCACCCTGCAATGCACATGAGATCGATTCCAGCGCCCCTGAAACACCAAGCCTTCCATCCCTCCGGGATCGGCAAATTGGTACCAGACTTGTGTGAGGGGGAGCAGCACTGGCTTGATACATTGGTAGACCCCCGCGTGTCATTCTAAAGGCCAGATGTGCATTCAATCACCTCCAACGATACCTAATGAAGTCGAATGCATGGCGCATCCCTCAGGAATTCATCAACGCCAAGAGCTATACCCTTTTTTTTATAATTCCTTCTAAGCCCGTTTCTCGTCGCAAACACAGTTCAGACTGCTTTTCAGCAATGTTTTAGGAAAAGTGGGTTTTTTTTCATAGTTTGGAAAACCTATCCACGTGAGATCAGTGTCCTCTGCTTGAGTTAACCGTTATCAATCCATAAAGAAGGTCAGTATGTTCAGCTGTTACTCGTTATCATATAGTAGTGGACGATCCAAACTCAACGAATTCTACAGTTACTTGTTAAGGTGAAATTCACGGCTAGGAGAAATCGCAGTTTACTCCTGGGAATTTCCATATAGGTGTGCTAGCCGGAACGAGTACAGAATCGGAATGCTTGACACATGAGGCACAAAACTTCATAATGAGGAGCGTGAAAAGCATTAAGGAAACATTCTTTACTGGCCGGTGTTACCTTCTTTCAAATGTCCATGATGAATATTTCAAGAAGCGATAAAACGGAAAATCTGAGGTGAACGGAGGAAGGAATTCCAATATACTTTAGTAGAAGTTCATAAAGCACATGTCTGCATAAGAGAACATTTGGATAGGAGAGTAAGAACAGAAAAAAGTACGAAGAAAAGCATTGCTAGTTGAGAGCAAGACATATGTGAAATAGAATACCAGTTGACTATTTTGTTAAGCGATTTAAAATGTGATTCAGCGGTCTGAACTTCCATCATGAGAATGAGAAAGTGTTCGGAGGACAAAGTCGAATGTTCTTTTGTCGTTTGCGGTAGGAGAAATCCGTCAAGAACTTCGGAACGATAATTTATCATCTTCTCGTGGAAGCAGTAGAATTCGGTTACGTTAATAGGAAATCGATCCTGAAAATAAATTTCTGACTTCTAGCTATGTATTGTGCTTTCCCCACATCTACGTTTCATTGCTTTCATGATTTACTTGCATTACGCGTACTCATTACCCTGAAATTTTTCTTTAATGAAGGCAAAACTAGTTAAAGAATTATAAGGATCTTTTCTGGTGTCGATTTAAGGCGAAAGAAACCAAGAGCACTATAAAGTTAACAGAGATTCGATGGTGAAACCACTCATAATTTCCCACCATGTGCTCTGACTCTTATATCTTTTATGTGTTTAAATTGTTGAGTTTATCAACATCCACAGCCCTTTGTAAAAGGGCATCGTCGAGTGAGTATGGCTTATCCGAAAGAGATGCTCCACTGAGGAAAACCGGGCTGGACCCGCGAGGAAGCCGCGATCTCGAGAATACAAACAACTGTGGACCATCGACTCGGATCAAAACGAAACGTTAGCAGAAAATAAACAATGTTGTCGACCTTGTGTAAGCTTATCAAAGGAAGAATACATATGATTAGTCATACCGAGGTTAAAGGAAAGTCATTTTTGCTCTATGGACCACAGTTGTTCGTCACCTCGATGTGGTGTCTTCGTTGTCGTGACGAGACGGATCTTCTGCAGTGAACACTGCACGAATGAGGCGTGCTCACCCGGCAATCCTCTTTTATACAGGGATGTTGTTGTTGATATAACTATCCGTTGATAATCATCTGTTTTTCAACTGGTAATCCACCTTGCAGCACTCAGTACTATGTTAGCTAGCACACAGCGAATAGGAAAGAATTCTTAATTCTTAAACCAACCGTCATTTAATCTTGGCGACAAAATAATCAGCATATGTTTAACTTGTCGAGCTAACACGAGGCTGATAGTAAGGTATATTCGGCTGACGTTTCGATGTCCTCGTTTTCGTCAAAACCAATGATCCGAGTCGATGATCCACAGTTGTTTCTCTCCTCGATGTGGCGCGTTCGTAGTCGTACCGAGACCGATGTTCTTTAGTGAACACCGTACCTTATCTTTAATTTTTTCTCCATCTATTTATTTTTTATTTTGCTTTATTTTTTGAGATTTTTTTGCGTGAAGGCACTAAAACGTTGGCGAAATAAAACATTTATAATAAATTCGTGTTAGCTTAATAATCTAAGGAAATATTTCTTATATCTTTGTTTTCAGCGAAACCACTTCATATGCAATTTCGAGGCTGACATGGATATGGAATCCTAGCTATTATACCTTAATCGGGTGCGGTCTTACTTCTACCGATCACTCGAAAAACATTGAGAAAAATTTTACCGATTAATTTGAAACAATTCATTTCACCATATCTCCAGAGGGATTTATGCAACCACTGGCAAGTCATCGTTGTCGGATGAGGCAGCAGAAGTATCATTACGACGGCACAATTCCTTAATGGTAAGAGTCAATCAGGATTGAATCCATTTAATCATCTTAACCTGATCCTGTTAAAGAATCCACGTATGGTGTGTAGGTTAGGCAAACCTAACTTACTCCAACATCTTTCAACGATGCTTAGGCATAGGGATCCTGAAATATGAGCAAAATTTGGAAAATCAGCTGGCCTTCGATCTGCCACTACTCTTATCGGGGGCTTAATGGAAATTTACTCGTTTGTTATTGAATAAGAGGAGGTGTTATGGGGTATAATTGCAACTGAGACACGTTTTGTGCGATTGGGTCATGTGTTCGTGATCGCGTCATCGATTTTCGGATTGGAGCACGCTTATTTATTCTGAGTGGGTAAGAGTTGTTCGATTAGGACAGATTTGCTTGCTGTAGTAAAATTTCAATTAGAAGTGAACCTTGGTTTCAGTTTCCTTGAGCGTTTAGGACGAGTTTTTTTAAACGTGCAACATTGCAATGTGTTCAATAAGAACTGTGAGTTTCTTCGAACGCGGTAGAGTATTATACGATTCATCTACTAATTGGTTCGATCACGAGTTCCAAGACCAACTGAGGTTTCGAGTCCTGCTCATACCTCGGTGTGCTTGCGGTTATATTTCACATTGTACCTTGCCATGAAGAAAGAATGAGCAGTAAATATAAGTTAAAACATTGTGATGCTAAAGTACTTTAATCCTGTTAGGTTCCGACTTTGTTACAGAAAGCCTTGCCGGTTTTGCTGATGTACTTGAGGAATTCGTCGCACATGTCAACGACACCAAGGCAGATGGCACAAAAACTCTCTGACTGTCATCGCTTTATCACATATAGTATTTCCTTTAACGCACAACGTCCAACATTCAGCCTTGCGTGGGCGTCGCCCGGGGCTACGCCTAATTTTACGTCTGTTACGAACATAATAGTTTTTAGCCGATAGACAATACTATTATCAATAACCAGAGGACATGAGTACTTCATAACATGACAGAATTATAGAAGAGACTTCGGTTTGTCGATGAAATAAAGCCTAAAAAAGAAATGCGCTGGTTGGGATTCACGTAGCCCACTTCCCTTGTCCACCCCGCATGGATAGCAAACAGTGCATCTCGGACGTCATGTATTAACACCATCATGAAGAGAGTTCCAACACACATCTACTCACTGTTTTCCTTGGACAAAATGTGCGAAAAATGTTACACTTTTATTTAATATGTGCGTGAAAAATGGGATATTCTCAGAGCCGTCCACTCCATTGACGAAAATATATCCATACGAAACAAAATAAGCAAGATGTGGATCTTTGAAGAAAACAACCAACAGTTTTCCGAAAACGAGTAGCTCCTGCTTTTATTGATTTCCGGCAACACCCGTGCTCTCTGGCGTTGGTATTTCATTTAATAAAAGGTTGTCGAGCCATTGAATGCGAATGTGGCAGCCCATACACCGATGATTCGCATCGCTTACATGATGAACATGTCAATCCGTGTTCTTTTTTCTTGCTGGAAAAGGTCACTTGACTGATTCCCGTAAAACGTAATGTCCTCTTTTTTTCCTACACGTCGGAATGACGCTTCCACAATGTAAAACATCTACCATTTCACTATAACATCTGCATAAAGTCGGAAAATTGTACATAATATGAAATGGGTTTGCACCAACCACACCCTCCTCTCCCACCGCACCTTTGGGGTGAGAAAATCGGTACCAGATCCGCTTGGGAAAAACCCCTCTCCCTCTGATCCACAAAGATAGATAATTGCTTGTGGTAATGACATGGGAGCGTTCAAGTGAAACTGTTCCAGGATTCCAGCTGATGCCATTTCGAAAAAACTCAGCGATATTCATGAAAAAGTCGAGTGCTGAAGCGGTAGTCAAGAAGCTTCAATACAGTAAAGCATACTTTTGATAGAAACTTTTTTATTAATACAACCTAGTTGGTATAAAGAAAAAGCGACGACGGAACAGAATCTCCGATCTGCTCAAGTTTGTTCCGCACGCGGACTCACCGGCCATCCGCGACCAGCCGCCGGCCTCCGTTGCGGCATTCCGTCGTGGCGACGTGACGGCTTCCGCGCGGGCACCGACGGCGGCCGCGTTGCGCGCCGCGCCGCACCGCCTGCCATCCGTCGTCCTGCCGCCGCCGCCTTTCCGCTGCAGCCACCGTCACCGCCACCGCCGCCGCCACCTCCGCCGGAATCACTTCCATCGTTCTCTACCGTCCGTAGCAGCTGAATATACGACATTTCTGTCTCATGGAGTTCGACTCGGTTTCATCCCCATGGATGGCACCTCATAGGGATACATAACCCTCTAACCTTTACTACGATCGAAATTTTTTAGATCTTTTTAAAATCTGTTGTTTCTACATCCGCCCCTAGTGCACCTCATGTCTGAAATTTAACTGGGCTTATGAGATTCAGTACGTCACCTAAACTTGGCTGGTACGTTTCGAATGGAATTTTTAAACCAAGGTTTCCACCACACTTTATATGTCTCAGTAAAGGTCTTGTCAAAATCGTCACAGTTGAACTATATTTGCTCTCATCAGATTTTGTGCTTTACGTCATTGAGTAAGAATAGTGCTGCTTTACACGAACATTGCTTTGTCATGCTGACAGTGTTGCAGATGTCTGACCACATTGAAGAATCCGAAGATAACGAAGGTCTGTTCAAGGACACGTTCGATGAGGATACGCTTACTCAGGTAGGGCAGATCGCGTTGGATCTTTGACGACAATAGTCAACAGATTATTCTGGGTTTTATGAAAGTGTGGTAGAATTTGTTAACTTAATCTTCGCAAGGATCCGACCATTTCTTTTTGAAAGTAGTTTCCTCTGGATTGTAGCGCCTCTTGTCTTTTTCAGCTGAGCAGCTTAATCGCTTCCGGTCGGGGTGTTCGTTTGGATGAGACACCGGCGTTTAACATGCGACTCATTGCCGAGGTATGATTTCAATGATTCATATCTCACCTCTACATTCCTACCCGCTGTCATATGAATGCTATGAATTTGAATAAGAGGACTTGTACCCATGAAAATTATCCACTTCCTCTCAATTTCATCTCATGCTGGCTTTTACGAACTCTTTGCGTGCTTTGAAATGGTTCCTGAAGCGTCTTGTGATGTCGGAATCCCTTCTGTTTGTTCTAGGTCGTTCGGAAAATAGTCGAGGACTCCCACTCGTTGCTTTAAAATGGCGTATCGCAGTTCCCAGTAGACTTTATTATTCTAAGTGAAACCATTGAAATCTTTACGCTTTTACAAACGAGAAAGAAAAGAAGAGAAAGAAAGTTTGTCTTTCCTGATTGCTTGAAACTTTAGAGTTCTGGAGGTAATGAGGTCGTTGAAGGCAATTTTGACCTCGGCTTGGTTTCTGAAGTATTCCTTGCAGAGTACTCGAGACATCTACAATTTCCGCTTTGGTTTGCGGAAGGCCTTGTAAGATGAACTTAGTAGTTTCTAAAGAATGAGATCGTAATGTTTTCAGAATAAATGATTCCTAATGGTTAGCTCCAAGAAAGAACTTCCAAAACTAAAGCGAAAACGTTCGCTTGTCCTGCGCATTTCCGCCGTCGGACTTTTCGCTCCCAGCCATCGTTTGCGCTGCCGCTTCCGCACTGAAGAGAGTGTCACCACGAGTCGGCATATGTCGGAAAAATGGCGGACAGAGAAGGACAGAGACATACGAATCCAATAGATTCATTTTGTTCGGATTCACAGTGACGATGTAACGTGCATCTTTCTTAAATCGTTTATTTAAGAATGAAGTGAAGGAAGCAAGCGATAGTTTTTTCTTATCATCTCAGGAATTCATGGCTGTAAGGATTCAAAATCACTGGTTCTCAAATCAGAAACAACCCTAAAACTATTAGCGGCTTGAAATGGCTTAATCTTGTGGTTGATATTCTTAGAAATAGTCTGTTCCATCTGATTTGCTTCACTAAAGAAAAAAGTATCACTTCAGCCTTTCGTTTGCGCGCGTGCACAGTTATACGATACTTGGTACTTACTTGGTTACTTGGATGGCCTGTCTTCACTGGTTTTGCGGCCCCCAGCATAATTTCCATTCTTCTGAAGTTTTGATGGTTTAGCTACTTTGGTTCTCTGGAGTTCCGAGATCAGCCAAGCCGAAGTCTGCCCTAGGTTGTCATCACCACAGGCAGTCACTGCCCTTGTGGACCAGTTTGGAATTTGGCACCATGCGACTGGTTTGATACTAGGACGATGGTGGATGCTGGTATTGCTTTACTCTTAGCTGGGGTTCCTAATAGAAATGCTGGAATCCTTCTCAGTTTGGGAGGCCTTGTTGGAGGGATGAATCCCCTCGCCTTATATCGCAGGCCGACACCCAGGAACACTTTCCAGCCACGACGAAGCGGTAAACCAATGGGAGGTATTCGGTGCTACAATACGACCATACAAAACAAATTCATGATATGCTCTAGTTGACGTGCTATTCATTTTTAAATGTTTTCACAAAGTAGCGTTGAGACTTGTTGTGTTATCAATCAATTGTTCGTCTTCAACATATTCTAAGTATCAAGAAAAAGTTAACTGCGACATTGTACGTAAATTTATACACTGCTTATTTCCTTCTTGATTCGAAACCTTCATTTTTCTCTCCATTCGATCTCTTATGAGTTAAGTGCACCTATTCTTTCTTCTGTTTTACTGATTTCTTTTACCATGCTCTAACTTTTATTTACTGCCTCTTCCTTTTTTAATGACAAGGCATTATATTAGAGATACAACCACAAGGATGCTACCAAGATCTGGTGTGTGATCCACTACACCAATCGAGAGCGTTGCTTCACCTTTTGTTCAGGCACTTTTTTAGCATCTCCAGAGTCGAAACTGCGGTGCACAGGTGGTTGTTGGTTTTATCCCACGCTCCGGGTTCTCCCAGCCTTTGACCCATCCGTAGTGGGCAAATTAGTGCTACAGTACTCTTGTAAGGCAGCAGCACTGATTCAATACATTGGTAGGATAATTAAAATCATTCTATAGGTCCGATATGCATTCATTCAGCTCTAACGATACTTAATGAGCCCGGATGCATGGCACGTTCCTCAGGAGTTGATCAACGCCGAACACTTTACCTTTTATTTTATTAGTAAGATCTAGCCATTATCGTTTGGGTAAAGTGTTCGTGTTGACTAATTATCGAGTGATAACCACACATGGATTTGTTGTTTCCCCATATGCTCTCCTCAATCATGTTACTACTTGTCTAAACTTTCGGTTAAAAAAAGACTGCAGGAAAAAACTATGTTGGAAAAATTATTTGTCTTTTAAGAAGATTGAGTAAGATCCCTTCTATAAATTCCGTAAGTTCTCATTTTCCTGGCTGTCAAAAATTTATCTGCAGTTATCGAAAAATCCCAGATTCGTGGCAAATAGGTGACAACGGAATTTCCGTTGGCCTCTTTAGCGACACATATAAATTCATTCACTTATTTCTCACAATCAGATGTCTTGTTCCTTAACTCCTTCATGTACTTCTAGCAGCTTTACCTTAGGCATCTTACTCCTTTCTGTAATCTTCAAGCAGAAAGCTTACCGTTTCCAGTTGACGTAACAAGGCACGAACGATCAGTAGCTGGAACGACTAGAACAGACTATCATCATGCCATGTATTTACCTAATACAACTTTTCCTGCTAATCTTGTCGTCGTCGCTTGATTTCGACATCAGAAACGGGTTCGGAATGTTGTTGAATGAAAGGAATTCTCACCTGACATCATAACAACACCACATTATTATCACCAATCGTACTGAGGAAAGTGCAGGATTCTGCAAGCATCCCAGCGCAATAAACAGCTACAGTGAATAAGTGAATATGTAGGCATAGTTGTTCGTCGTAGTTGATAAGATGCATTAGAGCTACACGACGAACATTCGTGCATCAATTTTTTCACCATTATTTACGATCGTTTAACCGGTTTGCAACTTCAGAAGTCATGACAAGCTCATTGCAAGCGCTACCATTCGGGATTTCGAAAACTCCAGAGAGTCTTTAAACTTGAACCGTTTTGAAATTTTCGCAAGCTCCAACCATACGTGCGTAGTAGTTAGAGATGCCTTGCAATACACACGAGATGGTTGGTTAGGATCCGCTCTAGCGTTGGCAGATTGGTTTGGGAGGTCAACTAAACTCATTTGATGCATCGTTAGATCTTCCCAAGTCATTGCTTAAGCTAAATATGCCTTCAATCATCTACACATTGTTACGACTAGAGTTGAATCCCTGAAGTAATCCTAAAAAAATTGTTCAGTTTACGAAATATAGATATGAATAGTAACTTTTTATGAGCTATTTTTTCACTGTAGGTTATGATGCGAAATACAACCACGATGATGCAGAGATATTTACAAAACGAAGAGGGTAACAGCGCGTTCGTCCCTCACCGCAGACATTTGCGGTCCGGAGTTTTGCAAATATCTCAGTATCATTGTGGTTGTATAGGCATGAATATTTTATAAATTTGTTGATTCGAAGACACGGATCTCTACAACATCATTCTTCGTACGTACGGTCAAGCTCTTAGAATTTCTTATCATTATTTACACAAACAGTGCATCCCAGTAAATATAGGGTTTTTCTCACCAACGTCAATGTTGGCCAATAGGATGGAATGTCATTTTGGGAGCTATAAGATAAGAGAAAACATCATCCTTGCCGGTCGATAATGAATGACTTAACCATCTGAATCATCCCTTCTTGAAAAAAATTTCCTTCAGGAGTTGGAGCGTGATATTTCATAGTCGGATTTAGAAGACGTTTATTTGTTCGTAGTTTTTTTTTTTACCGTTTCTGAAGAGTATCCTTATCATTATGAAAATATCATTCTTAGACTTTCATAAGAACATGAGTTCTATGAAAATGTTTTCATCGAATAGATCCCTGTTCATAATCTTGGTTTTTAGGTGAAGTCACGGCGATACCTCTACGATCACACCGATGAGGGATACAATCTGATTCCATGGCGAAACAATGCGTGGGTTGAAATCGCGGACGCGCTCGACTCTTCCCGTGAGTGTATTCGCTGAAGAAATCTCAATAAAAAGAAGAGACTAACATTCGAAATTCACTCACGTTCATTGAACAAACAGCGATCAACAACTGTCAGATATTCATAGGGACCTTTCCTCTATTAGCATATATGTGACAGTATGCGTTGGTTTTGATGCAGATCATTTTCGAGGTTATTTTCTTGGCCTCAGAGAGTTTACTTGTTACATCTTTCGTATTCGATCGATAACTTATCCAGTATAGATGTTTTATGGCAGATGTAATATCTTTTTTCGGACGAGTTTTTAGATACACACCGCACGAGCTGACAAATTAGGCGTAGTCCAAATTGGCCGTGATGCAAAATTAGGCGTATATTTGTTGAACTGTCGAGCCATGCTCACTGCTCACGCTGTAGATTCACACTTTCCGGTGTGGTCCACCTTGCATTGGTTAATCTTTTCTTGTCGAAATCGCGATAGACCACCTTTTGTTCACTGTGTATTTTGGTACGGTAGAAGACTTAATTCGACGTCGTGAGACATTTTTTTTAAACAGCATTCTTTTACGGAATCACGTATTTTAACATCTAACGGATGCTTTACAGTTGTTTTAAGATGCGCACTTTCTTTTATCACCCAATCTCCGTACGTTTACATACCGTACTATGCCGTCAACCTTAATAAAACCAGCAGCTACCGATTTTTCGGTACGCTGTACACATCTGCAGAATATCAGTCAATCACTATGTGGTGTGCAAGTAAAATTCACTTGTAGTGTAATGGCATGTCTTTAGCACAATGATTAGAAATCGTTAATCGTCGTACATAGCCGCTGGTTTGACCTCGAACACCGCGCTTTCGGATCTGTCCTTCCTGCGAGAGTAAAAATTGCTTCTAGGTTTATTTGAGAGATTGGAAGCAGTAACTTATACTTCGATGGGTCCTTGCGAGTTGTTGAATAGGGCAAATGAGATAACCGCCGCAATCGTGTGTAATTACAAATACCCTGATGCAGTTTATGTTTGGCTCGTAGAATTCTTTTCTGTTGTTTTCTGATTTATGGAGTAACGTGACAATCTAATGAGCTTCTGCGTAGTTTGGTACAAACATAGCTTTCAAACAAGCAGCTACATAACTATGGCTTTGTATGCTTTGACTAATGGATACTGATTATCGTCTATTTCATTCAAACACGACCTTATAGTCAAGTTTTTATTCAAGGTTTCCTTTTTCAGCTGAACATGTAAAGACTCGATGGAAGACATTGCGTGATCGCTTCAAAAAAGAAGAGAAGAAGGAAAAGGTCACGGGTAAGCCGGCTACTTGGATCTTCCAGAAACCGCTACGCTTCATACAAACCACACCTAGAGATCGTTCGTGAGTATATCACTGTTATCACTCATGTCTTTAGTTTTTAGTGCGCCTGCTGTTGCGATTTATTGAATGAAATAGCCCCAGACAATAGCCAGCTGATCTTGGCTTATATGCCTGTTCAGATAAACCAATTTGTTTGGAGGAATCGCAGTTCCGTAGACGTCAAACACAATCACTTTCCCTACCACAGCTTTTACCACAACCCTGTCGCGCACCTCCCACAGATTAAGACCAAGAAGCGCTCGTTCGGTTTTTTGTGTTGCTTCTACAATGAATGCTAATTATACCATGTTTTTACGTTTTCTTTTACTCCATTGCGCTGTCACGCAACCAGTTGTACCTGTTACTCAACTGTAGTGCGTTTTTGCTATTATAGCGAAGTGTTTTTAGTAGCAACTATCGACCGACATTTCCGCCTTTGAATCCTCGTATCGAACCCCTGCATTTAGCCCTTGATAGTCCTCCTGTACACTTTTGTGCTTTTTGTCTTATACGATGATTGTATTGAGTGAAATTAGATGAAATCCGCGGATGGCACAACTACACGAAAATGTAAACACTCTTACGGTACGACGATTTGTTTTTCCCCTCTCCTATCATTCCTTCTCTTTCTCTCTCACTGTTTCGCTACTTAGTAGTGTACATGTAGAATGGTTAGTGGTGTCATGCAATACACACAGTATCTTCGGTTCGATCCATCGCTTTGGGGTAAACAAGCCCTCTGTTCCTCGCTGGTAGCCATATTGGTACCAGACTTCCCTGGAATAGTAAAAGCACTGACGTGAGAGTTGTTTACTAGCCAACACGCACAAGAGGTTGATCAGCGCCGAACGTTTTTCCGTTACGGTTTCACCTCTCTGTCAGATGTCATTAATTCTTTACAAATAGGCCAAAGATAGTGAGAAGGTTGTTTAATTTACGTGGTTCTTGTACAAATAACTGAAGTTACTTTTTCTGACCAGTAGTAGAGACCCAGGTGAATCCCAGGTTTCCTGACGAATTCGAATTTCGTCACACTATTGGCGTCTATAGAGGGGTAATCCTCCATTGTACATTGATCCAACAGCGCCGCTTTGCTACTAAGAGGAAATAACTTTTCAAATTTCTGAAAAGATTGCTTGCCAAATTCGTTAAAGTCGAATCGTCAATAAACTTTATGCAGGAGGTGCATTTAGTTACAATGGCTGTTTATGGTTTCAGTTCTGATGATATTTGTGCTCTGGTTAAAGATGAGCCAGAGAATACGCATATATCACCAATGGAAACAGCGATTTCGTTCATCAAGCAGGAAATAGATCAGACTTCAGAAGCAGCAATCGAGCCACCAAGCACTGATATCGGAACGAATTCGCCGTCAGTAACTCCGCTGTCCTACCAAGGTCAGGTTAACTCAGTTTTCTCATCATCAACTTGGAAATAAATAATCGAAGATTCGAGAAAACAAAGTTCCAGCACCTCTATGTCTACCTTGATTTTCATAATTGGAGTCGTAGAGTCCTGAAAGGAAACAATCGATTAATCTAATGGTTATTTTATCACCATATTAGCGGTGAATAGCATAACAGCATAGCATTTGACTTCGATGATGCTCCGTCTATATTGATATATGCTTAACTGGGAAAACGTATTATGAGGCATTCATATTCGGCTGAAGTTTTCAAATAGAAGGATGATATTCTGGTTTAGTCCTTGAAAACTGAGTCAACATTTGACAAGAGGTTGAACATGGATTATTCCCAGGTACTGCATGTCGTGGAGATTCTTGTTCAACTGCAGATTTCAGACTCCTTCGATCCTCCGCCTGAAAAGAGTGCACGTCTAAGTCTAGCAGATCAGGTCCTTCCGATTCCTCCAAGGTGAACACGGTTCCTGTTTCTTGACGGCTATCGTGAAAATTACCTTATCAGGTGTTACATATCCATTTCAGTCGGTATCTTGCTCCTCCAATTTGGCAACGAATCGAGGACGAAGAGGACGAAATATTTGGCCATCTCGTAGCTCTTCGACTTACGAAACTCAGTCCAAAAGTAAGGGAAATAGCTAAGGTAATCATTGTTTGAAATCGCTGAGATTACCATCACAGGTGCTTCCTTAGAGAGTTTGAGCAAAAACTCGTACCATACTTTTTTGGAAAGAACTGCTGCACATTTCCACTAAAATGTTCAGTTTAAATACCAGAACTGAGCTTGAAAACGCTTGGGAAATAAGGCAAAGCCGTGGATTCACGAAACTCAAGGCGCAGTGACTTGCATGAAATTAGTTTCTTTCTGCGGCTTGTATTAATGAAAACCGCCAAAAAGGCTTATCACCAAAAATGGTGTCGGTCTGTGGCCCATACACACATAAAATCACGCTGATATGCGTTATTTCTATAGATTTTCTTCTGCGATCAATTCATTACCGATATCGAAGATGTTCAGATGCGGGTAATGCAAGTTCTCTTCGAGGAGCAGTTTGGTGCTCAACCATCAATGTGATCTCAGACAACCAACGGCTACTCACTTATCTTTTTGAAGTTGTTTATATCTGTATTTCCTTGGTAAAACAGTAGAAGCTGTCTGCATTCATCGATGAATGGTGGTTGTATGCACACTTGAAAGTCGGGATACATACAGAAGAAATTAGAGTGTCACTTTCTTATGAGAAGAGATACGCAATGGTTTTAAAAAAATTGTTAAGAGGTTCTCATTTAATTAGAGAAAAATGTACGAAAAGGACTTAGAATGTCGGTGACACCACCTTCAGCATCAGGAAATATTACTCAGAACCGAAACTTAGTTGCTCGTAACCAATTTGTCTATTGGCTGGAAACCGAACGGTTTATAAAGGCCTCTATCGAGTGTTAAATGAAAATCGGGAAGTGTTCTTGAGAACATTCAGCCTTCACAAGCAGAAATACATCACGGTCATTCAATGAAATAAACGAATAAATTGGAAACGCAAATATATTATGAGCAAAGCCATAAAAAAACATTGTGCGTAGCGAGGATGTAAAATGGTAAGGAAGACAATGAAGTGAAAGATAAACCAGTACACCGATATGCCAACTTCGTGGATCTCATTAGCGGTGTGAGAGATTCATTCCAATGAACAGGGTGCTGATGTACTTCATCTTAACAGTAATGGCTTTCTTGCAGTTTCTGCTTTTAACTATGTCATAACGAATATGAAGGAGGGGTGGGTTTCTAGAGTCAGTAGCTTGAAAAATTTCTTGATGATTTTCTGGTTATCCAGAAATGCATCAGGTGGAGAGGCATGGGTATTTAGTGGCATAGAAGAAATCTAAACCTACGACTCATCCAATATCATTCATTAGCGTACAGATAAGCTTTAAGCACTGGGTCAGCATATCAGCATATGATGACCATTTTCGAAATTTTCAATACTGAAGAAAATAAGATCACATCCCTCTAGATATTGGACAACCCGTGTCCTACACACACAGCTTTCCCCCGATGACAGAAATTTAACGGAATCTTGGACAAGGTATGGGACAGGGTATTACGCAGCAAAGGCATGGCTGATCACAGCAGGCTTCTCCGATCAGACACCCACAGCACAGCGCCAGCAGCGAGGTCAGCCACCAGTCGTCCCGCTGTGGGGGAGGAGGTTGTACGTAGCTGAAAACATCACAGTGAGAAATGGAGATAGAAGTTGAACAGCTGTAAATAGAAGCAGGTTAGTGATCTCTAGCATTCCTACTTTTCAGCTGAGACCCATAAAGGATTCGAAAGCATTTCGGTACCGGTTAAACAATTTTGATTATCGTGGACAATGTCAAGGCAAAACAAAAGTGGAGGCCCATGAATGCTGACTTGCGCTTCGTGAATTCCGCCACTAAATTCTAAACGGTGAGGCTGCAGCACATAAAGCGTGAATACCGAGTAGAAAACATCCTTCGAGTTTATCAGAAAGGTTTTCCAAGTTATAACCAAAGCACTTCCAAAATAAGAACCATATAAAGAACAAGAGAGATGTTTTTCCATAAAAGTATCGAACTTTCACTTTTGTTTTCAATTAACGTTTAAGACAATGCCGAGAAATAGCTTAAAGGAAGTGATCCGAGAAGAGAAGTAGCAGGAAAGTAACAAAACTCAAGGATCGATAGGAATGAAAACAATGCATCTGTCAAGGAAATCACCAATCACTATAAATATTTCAACGAATCTTTACCCATAGTCAACAACTACATATTTCCATGCTCAATTTTCAACCGTTTAAAGCATATTCCCTTCTTTTCGTACATATTCCTCTCTTCGTTTCCTTTGCTTCCCTTCTGAGAAAATGCATTAAACTCTAATTATTAATGAATTCGCCACGAAGTTGGTTTCTAGACAACTAGATCTCTTGAAGGCATGAAGAGGTGAGGGTTTTGTAAAAGAGGTTTTAAGAGTTTCTTCAAGGGTGCAAACATTTCTTCCTAAACGATGCTTTGCCTTTAGGTAAGTTTAATAGCAAAATCTATACAAAAACGAAAACAAAGTCTATATAGTATATATCTACTCAGACGATCGATCATCACATAGTGCTATGTGTCACGTATGTGCTTCGAACAATTCCTGAGTTCACTTCGTTTCCTTACAACTGTCATCAATGGTCATGTGGGTTCAGCCACGATCTGCGAATCTGGTATCCTTTCTTCCCATTAGATAGGAGGACCAGCACCTTTGGAGTGTGATTCCCTCTGGAATCTCGTGAGTACCGTGCTAGGACGGTTCCAGTCCATCGCGAGAGTATCACTGACAGCCACCAGTTTTCTGAATCGGAGAAAAGTGTACTCCCTGGCGATTTCGATTCTTACTGGACGGTAGTTCTTCTTAGACCGATTACTGTATCGATTAAAAATCCTGTGATTAACTCACTGACCACCTAAGTACAATATTCCAACCACTATATTTAATGGCGACATTGCACGACTGTAAGCCACACCTTTAACTGTTACCAAGTAAATATGTAAATTTAGAAGGTCTAATGGACCACAACGTTTTTACTCAGCAACCAAGAACATTGGACTGAATCTCTAGAAGCCACACCGCATTCTAGTAGAAACCACAGGGTATTAATGAATTTCGCCAACAGCTTTCCAATATCTGAATTCGATTCGTCACTGAACGAATTTAGATAAAATGCGAGCGGTGAGTAAGTGAGTGAGGAGGAACAGGACAAGAAATCTAGGGCAGATCCATTTCACTTCCTCCTATAACGAGCGAACGGCGGCACGGAGTCGCCGATTCATGGAAGACGCGGAAGCGTCGCTTGCACTTTAGACACCAGAGGACGGCATGTGCTTGAAACACAACGGAGAGACGGAAAACAACCGTCGAGGGATGTCGGCAACGACGACAAACATGGGAAATCGATTTCTGACAGCATGAAAGTAACAGGAAAGTGAAATATCGAACAAAAAATGTAGTGAATGAGCAAACTTGATTGGAAGACCAACCAGTCATGATAATCTCGTTCAAGTAGAACCGATTTCTAATATCACTGTGCAATCGCTCGAACTCGTGGCATCCCTCGCCAGTAGACGGATTTGATGCTCACAAGTGAATGATAGAACGTCAAGAATGAAGGAAACAAGCGAGAGTAGCAGGAAATTCTTAACAATTATATGGCAAAGGATGTTAAACGCCGTGAATGGGATGAAAAAGTAAGCTGTTTGGAACAAATGGACATTTAATCAGTTTAATATCCAATGATTGATGAAAACAACAGTAATGGGTAAGGAATGCGCCCTAGCTAATAGTGTGGAGCAATACATTCAAGGCCACCAGTTTGATCCTGCGGTCGGCAAATTTACACCAGAACTACCTGGGAAACACACCTTCGAGCAAGAGAGGCTATCGATTACATGCGGTGAAGAATTGAGAATGTTGTACTAAAGATACCCTAGGATTTCAGGGATAATAAAGTAGGCCACCTTCACGAAGAAGACAAAGTGCTCAAGTAGTAGCGAGCCTCTACGCAAATCCAAAGATCCTTGTAAATGTGGATGCGAGAAAATCAATGAAAGTGCTGGGATTCGTACAATCTGTGGTGTCCAATGACATAAATAAACACAAAATACAAGTATAAATATAAACAACAACAACACAGGAAAGCGTAGAAATAATAATGGTATATAATATAGGCCATCGACCTTTCAGCAGAAACCCCTTGGTAGCTGCTCATCCAGTTTAAAATGGTATTAGTCAAAAAACTGCAAAATCTTGCTCACACAACTTGCGGAGTCTGTCCTTGCGGAAAAGGTGGATACGGATTCATATGCTGTGGATGATACGACGCCTGAACATAATTTAGATTAGTGTCGTTTCAGTGAGTTTTCATGGATAGAAAAATACGAAATGTAATTTTCCTGGTTTCAAGCTCTCTATTCACATCGTTTTTGACAACACTGGCCGTATGCCGGGTTCTTTCGAGGTCCAAGTAGGGCTTATTTTTCAAAAGTGGTCCAAAAGTACTTCCCGCCTCATAGTCAAATGATTGTAGGAAAGTGGCAGTAGGGAGACAATTCACACAAAGGGAAACAATTCCGTATGTACGTTTGAATACGAGAATATGAGGAAGTAAACCGTGTAGGTTAACCCTGTACAACAGAGAAAGGGGATGTTTCTCTGAATGCGCCTGCCTTTCAGAATAAGTCGGGAATACGCTTTCTCTCTAGGCTTCTACCATAAAGCGAGGATGAGATTCGTTCAGTTCTCGAAACAGATCGACAATATCTCAGAAATGGGAAAGATGCATTGACAGCGAGAACACTATCGAAAGTGAAGTTGTGAAAACGGTACAGTATAGAAGATGCTAGTAGGACAAGACGTGTATCTAGGTATTTCTGCAATATATGCACAGTTAGTTGGCCTATATAAACTTATCATGAGTAATAAACCCTAGGAAATTTCCATATCTACTACTGAAAGTACTAGAATCCACGAGTTATCGCAGAGGAGAATTCTAACAGAAGACGTAATTGTTACCCTTTCTGCGATATCGATATTCAGAAGCTTACACCAACGTAGCTAGCAACGCAACATTTTTTCATTCTTTTTTAAGTGACCGAGATTTTTCAGCTAAGAAGCAGGTGCGGTATCGTTATCAAATTACAGTATGCACTTACACCTGTCGGTTGAGAGGAATAGTAAGGAGGAGGTTGGCTCATTATTCAAGCGATCAGTGGTTGTCAACGAGAAGAAGGCGACTTAACTCTGGACGGAGGACGGAAGTGAAGCGCACCCAGCGCACGACGCCGTTGTCTGTGACTACCGAATCGACAGCTGTGAGACTCCGGCCATTTGCACACCGCCGCCGCCGCGGTCGCTGACTCACCTCGGCGGAACCTGTTTGGCCACGCCCGCTCGATTCCGCGCGGTTCCCATATGTGCTCGTTGGAAGGTGGGTGTGTCTTGTATGGGAACAGAGAACGCTAGTCCTGCTGCTAGTTACGTCAAAAAAAAGAATGACACATAGGTCTACCCGCATTAGTGAAATTTCGATGAGTGCGGAATGTGACGCAGCTCTTCAACAAGTTTTTTTTTTCTCTCAAAGTGATGTTATTGAATGAGATAAAATCCGGTAGAATCAACAGATTGTTACTAATCAGAAATTACTTTATTTACCCTACTGATAAGAAATTCTGGCTTCTCAAAGCCCACAGTCTGCCAAGGAAGATACAAAGTTCTTTGATTTCCACGGGTTTAGCTCGTCTCTGCTCTCGTAATTTAATTATTTTCACCAGAGCTTCGTCTTTAATTAAATTTTTTTATTGAAAAACTTTTCGTGCCCATTATTACCTTAGTTGAATCCTGTGGATTGTTGTGGTTAAAAATTCCCCTGAATGCCCTCTTGGATTTTTCGCTAATTGTATAATGGCGTTGCCGAGCCCGTCACATCCATGGGTTTGGTGGATTTCAATTATGGATGTAGGCCTAGCAACGCATATGTGATGATATGACCTCACGTGGAATCATTTATTAGAAAAATAATGGGCGTTTTCAGCTATATCAGAAAAACGGCTGCTTCTCGCGCAGTGGTTAGAGGTGGCCTGCAATACAGACATAGTCGTTAGTTCGATCTTACACACCGTGCTCACCAAGTCCTCCGTTGCGCAATAATGTCGAACACCTCTCATGGACTGATCAACGTCGAAAGCTTTGTCCCTTACTTTTATTTCAGCTCATAGCGAACTTTACTAGTTGAAACAAACACCGTTAGCATCTACAGGTCTTTGTCTACAAGATATAGCCTTTTTTTCATCGCAAGAAAAATTTGCTTTTCTGAATGCCACGAATCGTCGGCGAGTACGTTTTCAACACGAAATCTATTGGACAGTGGGGATTTCGCCTAACACGATATAACGGTGTTTCCCATGTATTCATCAGCTTTTCTGTGTGTCGGACTTGGGAAATTTTGAAAGTTTCAATTTCTTTTTCACGTTTCTCGAGAATTTTAACTGCAAATAAATTTAAAGTTAATAAAGCATTTTGTAAAAGGTTTATATACTTCAACATTCTCGTGATGAGTGACGTCTGTCAATAAGCTTATATTCACATTATTTTGAAATTGTGGGAGTGGCCAGTATGACCGCTATAGGTTTCGTTTTCTTTCTGATGGTTTATCTTAACACAGAGAACTGTAAGAATATATATATATAGAATAAATATATAGAATATATATATAGAATATATATATATAGAATATATATACATATATATAAATATATATATATATATATATATATATAGTATAAGAAACTTCCTATAATCGATAGCGTATGCTACGCAGGTGCTATGGAGGGCGTCGTCCATGGAAGAATATCCAATTAATAATTTCTCACCAATTTCTCATTACTCCCAATGGTTTACCGTTTTATCGTGGCTTAGAAGTGTTCTTGGGTGTCGGGCTGCGATTTACAGCAGAGGGATTCATTCCCCCGACAAAGCCTCTCAAACTGAGAAGGAGTCCGGCGTTTCCATCAGGAAACCCAGCTAAG